CTCCTGCCTGCACCCCAGCTCCCTACCTGCACCCCGGCTCCCTCAGGCCGCACCTGAGCCACCGCAGCCCAGGCAAACCCCCATCACCAAGATTGCTCTCCTCTTGCCCAGGCCAGCGGGGACAGGGGCTGGGAAATTTGGGTGATGCTGACACGTCGACCTCTACAAAGCAGGCAGGGCAGGCGGCTAATCTGGGGATTAGCACCGGGGGGGCCGCAGCAGGGAGAGCCTGACAGCAGCAGAGCCCATACACACACACCGCAGCCGTTGGGAGACTTTCGGCATGGGTGCAACAGCCACCTCCACGTCCTCGGTGCTGACAGTGGTTTTGTCATCTGCCAAATGACTCAGGGGCAGATGAAGAGATAAGCGCCCGCTCCGTGCTGCCACAGCGGCTGGCCGCCCATGCAGATCGGGATGTGGGGCAGGGATGCAACCTGTGCTCTCACACCGTGCCGGTGGCTGCTATGGTATCACTGGCTTTTGACCACTGTTCTTCCCTCTCTTCTTGGGCTCTTCCTCAAGGAACCAAGACAAAACCCCAGTTTGGAAGAAAAGTGCCCCAATTCAGTACCCACAAACAGCCAGGAGCACAGCTTTGTGTTTTCATGACCACTGGATGTGTTTTACAGCGCTGCCCCATGCCCTCTGCAGTCCCAAGACACCTCCAGCATCCTCCCCGGAGACCTTCGGTGATGAGTGGGATGAGACCCCACGGATGGAAACCCCACGGCGGAAAAGACCAGAAGAAACCGCACTCACGGGCCACCACACGCCTGGTGGCACAGGATCCTCCAGCAACGAGATGGAGATGGTGAGTTTGGTGTCCTCACACTGGGAGTATGGGCTGGGATGGGATCTGCTCGGCCGGGGTGCAAGCGCAGTGCCAGTGGGAAGGCTGCTGTGTCCCATGGGACTGTGGTGGCTCCTGGCTGTGGATGCCAGACCCGGGACAGAGCTGGCAGCACACACACACACACACACACATTTACACACATACACACACACACACACTCTTCCATTTTTGTCCAGCACAAGGCTGGGAGAGGAGTCGCCGTCGTTACAGCCACACTGGGACAAATCTTGTCACTGGCAGCGATAACTCCAGAGCAGACCCTGAGTGGGACCAGGCGTGGGGCTGGGCTGTGGGGGCTCCCTGGGGCTTTTCCCCTTCCATCTCGGGGAGGTGACCGGTGCAGGGGGAGCGCCGCTGGCTGCCATTGGTGTTACACCTCGTTTCTCAGGGGATTTTTCTTGACACCTCGCTGTGTGTGTGGTGGTGGGGGCTGTGGGGGACCCCAGGGCAGCCCTGAGTTGTACCCACGGCCGCTCCGTCCTTCGGGTGCCGGTGAACCAGGGCCTGCTCCGGCTCGGCTGACACCTCCAGAGGTCCCTCCAAGCTCAGCCATCGCTGCTGCTGCCTGCGGCGGGCTGCGCTTGCGGTCACCAGCCCCCGCGCCGCCCTCCGGCGGCTGCTGCTGCCGTCACCCGGCCCCTCTACTGACCTCGGGGGGTCCCCACGGCTCCCACATCTGCCCCTGCTGCCTTCTCATCCCTAATTAACATCACCGAACCGACACTAAACGGCAAGGGCGGAGGTTTCCTCCTTCAAACATCAGAGAGGAGCTGAAAAAAACCCAATCCCCCCCGTGCCACGATGCAGGGGAGTTACGCAGCTGCCTGCTCGCCTGCTGAAACAGGATCCTGCCTCTCCCAAAAAAACAATACACAGACGCTGAGCTTTTGTGGAGATACAATGAGTTTATTAAAGCCAGGAAAAAGGGATCCCAGTCAGCCCCCTCAGGACTACAAAGCGGGACTGGTTGGGTTTGTGGCAAGAGAAGGGTTTTGTCAACACCAAAATGCTTCCTTTGATGGTAACAGACCACAGATCAGGTGAGGTGAGCAGGGTGGTCCTTTCTGACCTGAAATCTGCGAGTCCTGAGCCGCTCCTCACTGGAGAGGTGCGGGTTTCTGGAGGATGAGAACCGTCCATCAGCGACTTCAGCTGCTTGGTTTGAGTGTCACAGCTTTCAGCTGCTGTTTGGGAACCGCTGCCCTTGAGAAGTGCATGTTGCAGAATTCCTTGAGGAGTTAAGAGATGTGTGAGACAAATAAGATAAAAAAATGAAATAATTTCCTGAATTTTCTGAAACCAAGACGTTTCCTTGTAGTTTGAAAGGAGAAGAAATGCAACAGTTGGTGAATCTGAGACGCTGGGACTTGGCTTTCCTCAGCTAAACCTGCCCTTGTCCAAAGCTCACAAACAGTTCCTGGAATAAATCTGAACCTTACTGAAATCAACCAGAACAACACTCCCTACTGCCTAGGGGGATCAAAAGCTGAACTTTTAGACATAGAAACCAACATAGAGGCTATGAGTAAGAAACAGAGCAAAGCCTCTGGCCACAGAGATGTTATTACATTGACCAGGTTGAAAAGACCCCGTCAGCTTTCTCAGCTACGGGAGGGCTTCCCCTCTGCTCCCACGTAGCCCCTCGCAAAAGATGAAAGTGGGTGAGAAGAAACACCACTTGTCCCTGAGCAGGTAACACACCTGGAGGAATAAACCACAGCCAAGGCTGCGCTGAGAACTCCGAACACGAACCGAACCCTTCAATCGGAATAATCGCTATCAAAAACCAGAGAGCAACAGGCCGCGTTCTGCTGAGCCAGCGCACTGACGGGGCCTGGTTTCATGGAGGCCGCAGGGCTCCGGAGGCTGAAGCAGCTCATCTGTTTTTCACCTGTTGTGCTGCACAGGGAAAATATATTTTCCTGGGGAGAGGAATCCCAGAGACTCCTTTTTGCACAGGAAACGCTCGCTCTTTTCTTCATTTCCAAACTTCTCTTTCTTTTGTCTGCAAGTTGGTGCAGGCTTTTATTGGAGCATGGCACCGGTGGGACATTCTTTGCAAGCCTTGGCTGAGTGCCGCTGAGGATCTGTGGGTTGGGAGCTGCAGAAAAGGGGTTAGAGCCTCCTAAACTGAGAGCAACGGCGCGTCTGGGAACGCAGCTTTTCCTGGCGCTTTCTGAGTCAATAATCCCGTTTGCCTTCCTCTGCTTCGTTCCACCATCAGCACACCGAGAGACCTCGCCTTTTCTGACCACAGGGCACGTTTTCTTCCTCACCATTGCTTTATTCCAGGGGATCCTTCCTGGCCTCTGCTTGGCTTTGCTCCCTGTGGCTGCGTTCTCCACCTCGCCGTCCGTGGCCCGGCTACCGTCTCTTTGCCTGGGCACATCTTTTCGTACAGAAAGGTGGCAAACCTGAGGCTGCCTCTGCTGTGATGATGCCAGGGATTCGAACCCTCTGGTGCATCTCCTGACCGCCTTCCTCAGCGGGGTTGGCAGCGGCACCTCCTGCAGTGCAGGACAGTGTTTCTTCTGACCGCCTCCCAGAAAGTGGCCGTTGGTGCAGCACACGCAGGGATGGTTGGCACAGCTCTGTGTTCCCAAACTGTTTGTCACTTCCCACAGCGGGGTGTTTCCTCTGCCACACGCTGCTGTAGCCACGGGGCTCACGTTCCCTCCCAAAGCCGTGTTTAGTTCACCCTTGGGTGTGCCATCCCCAGTGCCCTGGTTCTTCATGGGGGAGTCTCTGTGCTGCTCCCCTGTTGCCGTGGAGGAGGGCTGACACTGACCTGGGGGGCTGTGATCCCCCCTGCCTCGGCAGCGTGGCTGGTGCACGTCCTCCTCACCCAGAGCATGGTGCTGGCACGGGCCGGGGGAGGTTTGGGATGAGTTATCTGCCCTGTGAGGGGGGGCTTTGGCGCTGGAAATGAGCGTGTGCAGCTCGGCTAAGGCATTGGGGAGCGTCGGGAAGCCTAATTCTTCACGCAGCTTCAGGTGCTGATCCCTCAGCTGAGCTGGCAGCGACTCCAAACCCTCCTTCAGTAGCTGAATGCTGGATTTCACATCCGAAATCTCCGCGTCTTTCTGGGGAGACAGCAAGCAGAGCAGAAGCAGCAAGCCACACATTAAAAGGTGCAGTTAACAGTATTCAAACAATAAGCTTGTAGGCAGTGTCAGTTAGACCCCTTAAGTTGGGTATTGACCCAAAGATCAACAATTTCTATCTCCCTGTGTAATAAATATTCTCAAAGTGAGAGGTTTGGGTTGGGGCATACCCCTAACCCACTGTGCGCCCCTCTCCCAGGAGCGCTGCCTTCTCTCACACTGGCGTGACACCTCCTTGCTGAAAGCAATTCCTGCCGCAGAGCCTTTGGGGAAACCAGACCTGTCTGGGTCTGACGCTTCATTCTGCTCTCTCTGACACCCACCTGTTCCTTTTTCACCTCCTTTTGCCTCTCCCTGGGAAAACATCCAGCTGAAGGGATGAGGCACTGCACTTCTGTGAGATGCTGTCCACTCACAGCGGGCTCCCTGCTCACCAAGCAGAGTTTCATCAGAGCCTGCAGCACTGTTAGCCAGCGCTTGGGTGAGCACCAGTCAGCATCTGGCCTAGAATTAGCATTTTAATATGTCTTTCCTGCTTCATTATAACAGGAGCAGACTATTTGATAATCCAGCATTCGAAGCAATTTAATATTCAGTTAATATTTTGAAGAAGAGGGAGAAATTCAGAATAAAAGATTAATTTCTGCTCTTACGGCTGCAAGTCTCCTCTCCATCTCCAGCAGCGCCTGCTCCATTTGGTTCTTATCTGCCACAGCTTTCAGCACCGAGCCACAGTGGCTTTGAAGAGCATCCTGCACTAAACAGGGAAATCAATAAAAAACACATTTGGTCTTTCATTTGTAAATGTGAATAAAGCACTGTCAATATTATTGCTACTTCCTCCATGGCTTGGCACGAAATACTCCACCGTGCTGTGCAGCCGTAGTGATTTGCCCGCTGAGATCTCCCTGAGCCCCAAGCGATGAACAATAGGGCAGATGTTTAATGCAAGGCACTTGAAATTTGTAAGATGCTGCGTGTAGGTCAGACCTCATTTACTGTGCTCTATTAATATGGCAGCTGCAGACGGAAGGCACGCAAAGCTGGAAGTCTTGGCTGGCTCAACACAAGGAAGGCTGAGGCTTAGTTCTCTGCACAGCACGCATGGCCAGGGAGGGGGACCCGAAAATATCTGATCCATCCCAATGTAACTGGCCCTCATCTGTAACCAGCTGATGGTAAATGGGAGCTTAAAAGCCTAGGATTGCTGATAACAGATGCAAGGGGGTCATGACTAAGAGCAACCAGAGAATACACTACACAACAGAAGTGCACAGAATCACACAGAATCACAGAATCCCAGACCGTTAGGGATTGGAAGGGACCTCCAAAGCTCATCCAGTCCAATCCCCCTGCCGGAGCAGGAACACCCAGATGAGGTTACACAGGAAGGCGTCCAGACGGGTTTTGAATGTCTGCAGAGAAGGAGACTCCACAACCTCTCTGGGCAGCCTGGGCCAGGGCTCTGTCACCCTCACTGAGAAGAAGTTTCTTCTCCAATTTCAGTGGAACCTCCTGTGTTCCAGTTTGTGTCCGTTACCCCTTGTCCTATCATTGTTTGTCACCGAGAAGAGCCTGGCTCCATCCTCGTGACTCTCACCCTTTAAATATTTATAACCATGAATGAGGTCTCCCCTCAGTCTCCTCTTCTGCAAACTAAAGAGCCCCAGCTCCCTCAGCCGCTCCTCAGAAGGGAGATGCTCCACTCCCTTGATCATCTTTGTAGCCCTACGCTGGACTCTCTCCAGCAGTTCCTGTCCTTGAACTGAGGGCCCAGAACTGAACACAATATTCCAGATGAGGTCTCACCAGGGCAGAGTGGAGGGGGAGGAGAACCTCTCTGCCCTACAACCACCCCTCCTGATACACCCCAGGATGGCATTGGCCTTCTTGGCCACAAGGGCACAGTGCTGGCTCATGGTCATCCTGCTGGCCACCAGGACCCCCAGCACAGGAGGCTGATAACTAAAGGAAAGCTGCCTGAAGGGACAGTGGGGAATGGTGAAGGAGCGTGCAAAGAATTGGGATTTCCAGTTGCTGGGCACAGGAAGAGATGGGGCCAGAAACCACCTGAACCAGGCACTTTGTGCCCAGCACTTGGGCAGCTGTAGCTGGGAGGCACTGGGGGCCTCGGCAGTGTCCTGTGAGGGCACAGACCCCTGCCAGGGTTTTTAATGTTGAAAAAATGAATACAAATAAGAATCTTTGTTACGTGATTGGGCAGTAATGTCCCTCTATGCAGCTGCAATTATTCCTACACAGCGCTGCTGTGACTAATACACTACAGCATGGGAGCACATCCTGTGGAGGTGAAAAATCCTTTGCAATCTTACAGAAATCTTCCTTTAAAATCATAAATAAGGATCCAGAGAAAATGTCGCTCGCTAAATGTGCCTGGTCTTTCCTGCCAATGGAGCAGGAAGGTGTGTACAGATGGTGGGGCTGGGGTGGAACAAAACAGGATGCAAAGCTCTCCTGCTAAAACAAAGCATTGCGGCCAACGGGCTGGGATCACCGAATCTCCAGAGTCCTGGACTAGCACTGCCTGCCCGAGAAAAATCAGAGTAAAGCCTAAGGGCCAACAAGTGGCTACAAGAGCTCTGCGATTAATTAATCCTCTTTTGCTACAGATCCAAGGCGTCTGATTGACTTTGGTGTCGGTAGAGCCTGGCTGATCTCAGCTCTTCGGAGATGCGCACTCACCCTCACCGGCTGCAGAGCCGCACAGCACAGGGATCTCCTCCTTCTGCCCAGCTGTTTTAATTAACTTCAGGACTTAATCATCCTGGCAAGCTGTGCCCTGCTGTCTAACTCTAGCTGGAATTGGTCAAAGAGTTAAAAGAGTTAAAATTGGTCAAAGAGTTAAAAACTAGCAGGGAGAGGCAGGCAGAAAGGCAATGTACAGGGTTTGTTTCTGTAAAAAAACCAGGGACGTTTTAAAAAGGGACATTTGGGAAGGAAGAAAGGAAAGAGATGTGAGCAATTATGGGCTTATTCGTTTGTTCTCATTCTGTGCAGGGTTTTAGAACAGACCTT